ATTTTATCTATCAGCTGAGTACAAGAAACCTCCCATTTACTATTTAGACTACCCAATATGGTGGTCAGAAATTGGCAATTTGGCCAATTTCACACAAACTAAAAAAGATGCCAATTTCAAAATAGGGTCAAGAATAAACAAGGTAGACATTCGTGGCACTAAAATAACATATGCTCTGTTCATTAGTCACATCTCTAGGCCACTCTTATATTGTTATTGCTTTCTATTTTGATTTTTTATTCATACAAAAAAATACAAAATATACTGTTATGCAGACTACTGCATTATTGTAAAAATGGTATAAATAATATCAGTGCACTAGTGAAAGAATATTAGACTCCCCAGTTGACGTGTATTGGACGTGTGGTGTGATTTATTTACTCCTGAACATTGGTAAAAATCGAACATTTTCGCTACTTTAAGCTCAGTTTCAAGGTCGTTTTCATCGTCAAAGTAATGAAAATCATCTCTATTTCTGTAATATGTTTTCATTTTATCACCTAAGACCATGAAAACGCGAATACAACGATAAATTACTATACGAAAATACACCTCAAAGTCGGCGTTTTATTAAAAAAAAAACAATCAGTTTTTTTTTTCTCATTACGCAATGTGTGCTGCAGGATTTTTTTTATGTGGTGCACACTGACCACACAGACCCATTCTCTCACATGTGGGCCTACCAGCTTTCTCCCGCTTGATTTGAAGCCACTAGAATTATTGAGTATATATACGTCAGAAACATTGGCTCGTAAGACGTATTTATACGTCGAAAACAGTCAAAGGGTTAAAACAATGTCAAAGATGGTTGACACAAACCCACTACCATTATAGTATGATCCTCACTTAGCGACAAATTCATTTACTGATGTGGTCTTAGGAATGGAACTCAGTCATTAACCCTTTCAGGGTTTCGGCCGTACTAGTACGGCTTACACGCCAGGGTTTTTGACGTACTAGTACGCATAAATTCTAGTACCTTTAAATCTCGCGGGAAAAGGCTGGTAGGCCTAGATGTGAGAGAATGGGTGTGTGCGGTAGAAAAAAATCTGGGACCCAGTGGCGCATTGTGGGAACGCCATTTTAGTAGACCTTGTTCACCATGCCTCGCATAAGAAGCTCCTAACTCCTCAGTGAATTGGGACACTTTTGTTCCCCAGTGATAGTTCTAATATAGATGGAAGTGCCAGTGAAGATGAGTTTCAAAGTTTTGGTGAGGTTGTGACCGAAACTAATGACCATAATATCGGTAATAGTGAGGAAAACCCAGACAACCCTCAGCCTTCCACCTCTGCTGCTGGGCCGTCTTCTTTACGTTCAGTTGTACCAAAATCAAAGAGGAAACTCCTATTTTCCCAAATCCCGGACTCAGATGTGAGCATTGGTGATGATAGTGATAGCGAATATGAACTACAAGTTCTTGAAACCAGTTCCAATAGTGATAGTGAAGTGGAATATTCTCCAGTGAAGCGTCAGTATATTCCAAGGGGAAGGAGTACATCTAGGAGTACATCCCATGGCTGTACAACAGGAACAGACAGTGAAAATGACGATGATAGTGTTGCAATTGGGATGGAATACCAGCCTCCACAACCACAACCACCTGTCAATGTCCAGTACCCACCAGCAGACCGCACCTGGGATTGGCAGGAAGCTGTCAATTTTGTTCCAAATCCCCACCAGTTTGATGAAAGCCAAAGTGGAATACAGCCATTTTGTACACTGGGAAACAATGCCAGTGAACTGGAATGTTTTGAGTTATTCTTTGGCGAACCCCTGATGGAAATTATTGTCAGGGAAAGCAACAGATACTACGAGTACACCATGGCAAACACAATACTTTCACCAAAATCACGTCTACACCAGTGGAAGGAGACAACTGTGGTTGAGATGTATCTTTTCTTTGCCACAACAATGCTTATGCCACATGTGTATAAGCACAGTGTGAAATCATACTGGTCAACAGACCGCCTGATTGCAACCCCAGGTTTCAGTGATATAATGGGAGTGAATCGATTTGTGCTACTATTACATATGCTTCACTTCTCAGACAAAACCAGGCCTGACAGAAACGACAGGTTATATAAGACTAGGAATGTGTTTGTGTATCTGAAAGAGAAATTTAGTATGTATTTTTATCCTTCCAGGAAGCTTGTAATTGACGAGTCTTTGATTCTGTTCAAAGGAAGACTCTCTTTCAAGCAGTACATACCAAGCAAGAGGAAACACTTTGGTATAAAGTTGTTTGTGCTTTGTGATTGTTACAGTGGTCTGGTATTGGATATTATTGCGTACACTGGAAGTTATACATCGCAAAATACCAGGAAGTTATTGGGCGTCTCTGGTGATGTGGTTAGAACAATGATAGAACCATACCTTGGTAAGGGGCATATATTATATACTGATAACTGGTGCACAAGCCCCTCACTCAGTGATTTTTTGCGAGTGAACACAACAGATGTGCGTGGCACAGTGCATGCAAATCGTAAACATATGCCCAGGTTTGACGCTGGCACTCGTAGAGGTGAGGTGCAGGCGTTTGCTGCCAATGACATCATGGCATTTCGGCGGCATGACAAACGAGATATCACACTGTTGTCATCAGTTCACCCTAATGAAATAGCAGACACTGGCAGGCAGCATAGAGAAAGCAATGAACCCATTCTAAAACCTGCAGCTGTGATTGATTACACTCTCAATATGCACTCAGTAGACAAATGTGACATGCAGATTGGGTTTGCTGATTGTGTTTGCAAGAGTTATAAGTGGTACATAAAACTCTTTTTCCATCTTCTGGACATTTCCATGCTCAATGCTTATATGTATAAGATGAGGACCAGAAACAAACCACCATATGGCGAGTTCTGTTTGTCTGTCATCAGACAAATAGTATTCAAGTACCAAGGAACAACACCTGCAATAGACCGATCACTAAATTATCAACAACTTCCTGCTCGTCTGAAGCATGGTGATCACTTCCTAATAAAACTGCCTGCTACTGCTTTCAAGAAAAAGGCTCAGAAGAGGTGTTACGTCAGTGCACATACAAAAAAAAAACGCCCACAACAACGCAGAGAGACTCGTTTTATGTGTGAGGAGTGTAAAACACCACTGTGCATGACACCATGTTTCAAAGACTTCTACAGGCTGCAGAACTTCTAGAAACATTCCCTATGACTGTATATGTGTATATAAAATATAGAAAAATAGTAATAAACAACATTTTATATCGTTTGTGTGTATAAACAAGAATTATAAATAATATAAGGACAACAGTGTTTGTGCAGCTACTGTGCAGGAAATAAAGAGAAAAAACTTATAAAATAGTGCTCATATTGGTCTCACAGGCCATAAAAGTTACTTGGAAAAAAAAATTAAAAAATAATAGAAAATAGTACCTAAAAAAGAAAATAAAGTAATACCGGGTGATGGCAGTCGGTGATGTTACCATATAGGGGGCATTTTCTGTCAACTTCATGCCTCCATATCTTGGTAAGTATTGATGGTAAAAATTTTTTGTTTAGCCTATAATGTTTAGAAAAAAAAACTATCTTTTCATAAGAAAAAATAATTTTTTTTTTCTTTTAAATTTTGGCGACCCTGAGAACAAATCCCTGAGAGGGCCTGGCGACCCTGAAAGGGTTAAGTGAGGAGAGGCTGTACTTTTTTAAAGAAAAACTTTCAGCATCATTCACTTTATCACTGTCTTGCCAGAGTTACGCTCACAATAGTTATAAAATTGCAATATTAACACTCCTCCTTCAGAGTGCAGCCACTGTACTTCCCATCTCCAGGACTTAAGTCTGGCCTGCCAATTTCCCTGAATCACTTCATAAATGTTACCTTACTCACAATCCAACAGCACGTCAAGTCCTAAAAACCATTTGTCTCCATTCGCTCCTATCTAACACGCTCACACATGCTTGCTGGAAGTCCAAGCCCCTCACACACAAAACCTCCTTTATCCCCTCCCTCCAACCTTTCCTAGGCTGACCCCTACCCCACCTTCCCTCCACTACAGATTTATACACTCTCCAAGTCATTCTATTTTGTTCCATCTTCTCTACATGTTTGAACCACCTCAACAGCCTCCTCAGCCCTCTGGATAATAGTTTTGGTAATCCTGCACCTAATCCTAATCTCCAAACTATGGATTCTGTGCATTATATTTGCACCACACATTGCCCTCAGACATGACATCTCTACTGCCTCCAGCCTTCTCCTTGTTGCAACATTCACAACCCATGTGTCACACCCATAGAAGAGCACTGGTAAAACTATACTCTCATACATTCCCCTCTTTGCTTCCATGAATAAAGTTTTTTGTCTCCACAAACTCCTCAGTGCACCACTCACATTTTTCCCCTCGTCAATTCAATGATTCACCTCATCTTTCACAGGCCCATCTGCTAACATGTCCACTCCCAAATATCTGAATACATTCACCTGCTCCATACTCTCTCCCTTCAATCTGATATCCAATCTTTCATCACCTAAGTTTTTTGTTAACCTCATCACCTTACTCTTTCCTATATTCACTTTTAATTTCCTTCTTTATAATGCCCTACCAATCTCATCCACCAACCTCTGCAACTTCTCTTCAGAATCTCCCAAAAGCACAGTGTCATCAGCAAAGAGTAACTGTGACAACTCCCACTTTGTGTTAGATTCTTTATCTTTTAAGTCCACACCTCTTGTCAACACCCGAGGATTCGCTTCTCTTACAACCCCATCTATAAATATAATGAATAGCCATGGTGACATCACACATCCCTGTCTAAGGCCTACTTTTACTGGGAAATAATCTCCCTCTCTCCTGCATATTCTAACCTGAGCCTCACTATCCTTGTAAAAACTCTTCACTGCTTTCAGTAACCTACCTTCTATTCCGTACATCTGCAACATCTGTCACATTGCCCCCCTATCCACTCTATCATATGCCTTTTCCAAATCCATAAATGCCACAAAAACCTCTTTCTATTATTTTTGAAGAGACTAACCTGCTGTGATACGACACATTCTTCAGCAAAGCCTCCAAGTGTTTCCTTATTGATTCCAATGACACGACTACCTATGGCCACATTCTGTACACCTTCACCGATTTCTATTACTTCACCACAAATTTCAAAGCCGGGCACAAATGGGAGCTTAAATTCTTGGTCATACCTGAAAAGAGGACAAAGAAATAGTTTTTATATGAGGTACAATATTTAAATAAAAATAAAAATAATACTGTGAGAATTATTTAAAGCCTGTAATAAGGATATCCAGGTGCTTCACCTGTAGTATTCATAAACTTGTTCATACCTTTGACTCTGTGAAATTCTTTATTTGAAGTCATTGTACAACAAAACTTGTACCTTATTTTGCAGTATTTATGATAAAGTTTTTAAATTTTTGGTTTTAGACCCTAGGGAGCTTCCTCTTGTAACCCATTCCATTATTTTATCACTTTTTAAGTTTATAGTTATGGCCTATTGTTCTACCTATTGATGTCATTAAGACATCTTCCCTATCAGTTCTTTCAAGAGACTTTTATTATCATGTGTTAAATGTGATTATCATGTCTTATCTCTTCCTCCTAACAACACAATAAGACATGTCCCATGCTTTCAGGCTTCCTTCATAATTTTTTTTTTTTTTTTAGCTCTGGGAACTGTTTTGTAGCTTGTCAATGGACTATTTTTCTAGCATGTCCATTTTTTGTTAGGTACACTATACTACAGCTCTGGGTCTTAACATATGGGAAAGCAAAAATACATTTTTCATTCTTGCAAACCATCAATGAGGCCCTGATGGCTTACTAGAACTATGACACACACAAAAACATGCAGACAAATAATCACAGAATGGTTGAGGTTTGAATCAATGGCAAGTGAATTTTAGGACTCACTTGCCACTGAATCAAACACCATCCATTCTGTGATTTGTTTGCAACAGTGCTATTACGATTTAGAAAGCCATGGAGACAACTTTTGAATGAGACCTAAAATCCAGAGTCCAGGTCACATAGGCAAGAATTGTTAGGTACAGGTGGGTCCCACTTATAAAGCAGGTTAGGTTTCGGGCTACTGCTGTAAAGTAAAATTGCTGTAAATTGAAACATAATTTTTTCACTTTCAAATGCATATAAAAGTTGGATAACATGTTTACACTATCACATATTAAGTGAGCAAAAGAGATAGGCCAAAAAATGCATTTACAGTACACCCATTACTTACCATAAAATATTTTCATCCTCAGCTTATAGTAAGTAGTGAATGTATTTAATGCACGAAGTCCAAATAAATTAAAACTGGGTATAATTGATAACTGTTGCATTAGCAAAATGCCGTAAAGTGAAGCACTGTAAAGCAAGGCGTTCCTGTATTAATATTATTATTATTATATTTATATTAATAATAATACAGTGGACCCCCGGTTAACGATATTTTTTCACTCCAGAAGTATGTTCAGGTGCCAGTACTAACCGAATTTGTTCCCATAAGAAATATTGTGAAGTAGATTAGTCCATTTCAGACCCCCAAACATACATGTACAAACGCACTTACATAAATACACTTACATAATTGGTCGCATTCGGAGGTAATCGTTATGCGGGGGTCCACTGTATTAATATTATTATATTTATATTAATAATAATATTAATATTATTATTATATTAATATTAATAATAATATTAATTTTTTTTTTTTTTTTCAACAAGTCGGCCGTCTCCCACCGAGGCAGGGTGACCCAAAAAAGAAAGAAAATCCCCAAAAAGAAAATACTTTCATCATCATTCAACACTTTCACCACACTCGCACATTATCACTGTTTTTTAATATTATTATTATATTAATATTAATAATAATACAGTGGACCCCCGCATAACGATCACCTCCGAATACGACCAATTATGTAAGTGTATTTATGTAAGTGCGTTTGTACGTGTATGTTTGGGGGTCTGAAATGGACTAATCTACTTCACAATATTACTTATGGGAACAAATTCGGTCAGTACTGGCACCTGAACATACTTCTGGAGTGAAAAAATATCGTTAACCGGGGGTCCACTGTATTAATATTATTATTATATTAATATTAATAATAATATTAACCCTTAAAACGGTCCAAACGTATATATACGTTCACGCACATAGCGCCCCAAACGTATATATACGTTTTCTTTGTCATTCATTCAACATTGCCACAATAAGCCTGAGTCACCTAGACATGAGAGAATGGGTGGGTTCACTCACTGTGTTCCATATTAAAATAATTGGGGATGCCTGGGTACCATATGCTCTTTTTTCCTTTTAAAAGAAAAGATTTCTTTTTTCCTCAAAAAATTTGGGGCGCTACGTGAGTGAACGTATATATACGTTTGGACCGTTTAAGGGTTAATACAGTGGATCCCCGGTTAACGATATTTTTTCATTCCAGAAGTATGTTCAGGTGCCAGTACTGACCGAATTTGTTCCCATAAGGAATATTGTGAAGTAGATTAGTCCATTTCAGACCCCCAAACATACACGTACAAAAGCACTTACATAAATACACTTACATAATTGGTCGCATTGGGAGGTGATCGTTAAGCGGGGGTCCACTGTATTATTATATTAATATTAATAATAATATTAATATTATTATTATTTTTCTTTCTAGGTCACCTTGCCTCAGTGAGACAGTTGGTATGTATCCTACCAAGGTAGGGTGGTCCGAAAAAGAAAAACTTTCATCATCATTATTATTATTATTATTATTATTGTTGTTATTATTATTATTATATTCAAGGGGCAGCACTAAATTCCTAAGGGTCATGTCAGAGAGGTCCCAATGGTTTTGAGTGAACTGCTAAAATCTCATCTGCTCAGATGCAACAGCAAAGAATCTCTTATTGAGAGCCTCCCCACCTGGTTAAAGAGATCAACCAAGGTTACCCTTTTGAGAGACAGAAAGACTTTGAACACTGAATTAATAACAAGCACATTAACTTGCAACAGCCTACAAGCAACCATGTGTATAAGATGTGTACAACACCTAAGTATCTTCATTTGGGAAACATTTTGCCCACTGGGGTTTCATCAGTCTCATATGGGGACATGAGAATGGAGACTTTTGTAGTGGCACCAGGGAGAGAAGTGGAGTGATGCAGCAGTAGTATACAGTCACATGTAGGTGGGGTCCACTAGTAGAAGTAGGTAAGACTCATAAGCTGGACCAGAGATTTAATAACGAGAGGTGTAGAGACATTCTCTAGTGTCCCACAAGGAAGGCAGTGGTCAGTCTTGTTGAAAGATGTCAGACAGCACCATGCAACCCTGGTACAGAGAGTATCTTAACATTCTACTTATACCACACAGTCTTCATATCTGACAAAACTTTCTACATGATTGGCCACCAGCATCCTTGTAGAAAAAAAAATAGAGGATATCTCTACAAGTCAACTGCTATTCCATCTTATGGGCCTGATCCACTTCTTCTAGTGGGCCCTGCTCACATAAGACTATATCTGCCACTTCTGCATTGTTCCACTTTCTCTACTAGTTCCACTATAAAAATCTCCATTCCCATGTCTTCATATTAGATAGATAGAGCCATGCCCCTGGTGGGTGAAAACTCTCAAATAAGGATGTCTAGGTGTTTCACCTGCCTAATTCATTAACTTTTTGGCACTATATACCTTAATTATGCAACTGCGCATAGTTCATTCCATCACCCCCTCCCCAAGCACACATGAAACACCACCAATGAGAGGATCTAGAGACCTATGTGACCTAGATTTCTGCAGATACCCCACTGGTTTACCTAGATACAGTACACCTGGATATTGGTTTTAATACTGCAATTGCTGCAATTGTAGATCAGAGGCCCAGATGCAGTAACACTTTAACCTAAGTATAAGTGTGAATCTTATTGACTGACACCCAGCATATACATCCCTGAACTGACCCATGAGGATCAGGGAAACCCATCCTAAGTCCTAGGAATAACTATTAAAAAGCTCCATGGGGAAGTGGAGAATTCTTCCTCCTAAGCTATGTATGCTGTAAGAGGTGACTAAAATGCCAGGAACAAGAGACTAGTAACCCCTTCTTGAGTCCTGGAGGGTGGAAGTGCAGTGGGTTTGGAATATCTGCTGTTTAGAGGGACATCTAAACTGTCGCATCTGCATGCCTCTGGCAAGATAATGATAGTGTGAATGATGGTGAAAGTTTTTTCGGCTCACCCTGCCTTGGTGGAAGACAGTCGGTGTGTTGAAAAAAAAATACTACTAAGAATGCCAGTGTAGACTCTGGTGGAATAGTAAGTACAAAATAAAAGGATTTACTAGAAATTAATGATAATAATTGATGTTTGTATGTTTAATAAATGGTAACAAAGCTGTGCACTTGGTTGGTAGCGCACTCATCTCACACATTGGGTGTCTGTGGTTCAATCCCGGTAAGGGTGGAAACACTGGGCATGTTTCCTATGACACCTGCTGCTCCTGTTCACCTAGCGGTTAACAGGTACCTGGTGTGGGTCGCATTCTGGGGACAAAATTAACTTAATTTCCTAGATATGCTCTGCATAACCAGGGGCTTTCTGTATAGAAGTATGTCTCTGATGTCAGCTATGGGCTGTATAAGTTGCATCATGTACTTGTAGAAATAAAGATCATTATTATTAGTAATACTGGAGAAGAACTTATGTCTGGTGTACTAAAGCTAATGTAAGTGTTTTGAAGATACCACTGGAATAAGATTCTAAATAAGAACAGCCAGGGTAGGATACATGTCTCCAGCCATGTATTCTAGAACAAACGGTCCAAGAGGAGTCGTGAGGAATACAAGTATACATGATGCTCAAGCATAACAAGGGTACTGAATCAGACATGTGTGCAACATCTGGGTATTTTTACTTGTGTCTACAAGTAAGGATGCTTAATTATTAGGTACAGTACCTTTCATTTCATAAAAAATGTATATGGGGTAAACTTACTTATTCTCCATCATTAGCAGGTCAGAGGCATTAACACCGCAGCTGTGAACTGCAACTCTAACCTGTGCAGAGGAAAAATATGTTTTGTGAAAGCATGAATTTGTCTACATTTACACAATACTGGAACAGCAACCATAATAAAAACAACAAAAAAAAACAGTAACAAAACAACAGTAAAAAAAACTTCAAGGACAGAAAAACAATAAAAACAAGGGCAATATCAGAAACAACTACAATAATCAGATTTATTTCTCTCACTGTGCAATCTGAGAAAGGTATCCCTGTACTGCATAACCCATCTCCTGTACCTCAATGAATGCAACTGGAATAGTGCGAAATGCAGCACACGTTCGTAATGGAGTATATCAGTGGTGAAGACTAAAGGGAATCACAAGAGGCATTCTTAAGTCATCATATGAAAACTAATATCCAAATTTCTTCAATTAAACTAGTAAATTTCTTCAGTAAAAATGGTCAGTTAGGACACACAGTCCATATCTAATTCAAGCCTTCCAAAGAGACCAACATTCAAATATACACAAGTACAGGGGCTTCTTGACTTATGATATTTTGACTTTACAATGGTGCAGAGGCAATTACTTTGGAGATGAACATTAAAATGGTATAAAATACCGACAGGTTGTTAGGTAAGACACATATGCAACAGTTATTTTTATTTATTTATTATCACACAGGCCGATTCCCACCAAGGCAGGGTGGCCCGAAAAAGAAAAACTTTCACCATCATTCACTCCATCACTGTCTTGCCAGAAGGGTGCTTTACACTACAGTTTTTAAACTGCAACATTAACACCCCTCCTTCAGAGTGCAGGCACTGTACTTCCCATCTCCAGGACTCAAGTCCGGCCTGCCGGTTTCCCTGAATCCCTTCATAAATGTTACTTTGCTCACACTCCAACAGCACGTCAAGTATTAAAAACCTTTTGTCTCCATTCACTCCTATAAAACACGCTCACGCATGCCTGCTGAAGTCCAAGGGCCCCTCGCACACAAAAACTCCTTTACCCCCTCCCTCCAACCCTTCCTAGGCGACCCCTACCCCGCCTTCCTTCCACTACAGACTGATACACTCTTGAAGTCATTCTGTTTCGCTCCATTCTCTCTACATGTCCGAACCACCCCAACAACCCTTCCTCAGCCTCTGGACAACAGTTTTGGTAAATCCCGCACCTCCTCCTAACTTCCAAACTACGAATTCTCTGCATTATATTCACACCACACATTGCCCTCAGACATTTACATCTCCATGCCTCCAGCCTTTTTCCCCGCTGCAACATTCATCACCCACGCTTCACACCCATATAAGAGCGTTGGTAAAACTATACTCTATTTTCATTCCCCCCTTTGCCTCCAAGGACAAAGTTCTTTGTCTCCACAGACTTCCTAAGTGCACCACTCACTCTTTTTCCCTCATCAAATTTTATGATTCACCTCATCTTTCATAGACCCATCCGCTGACACGTCCACTCCCAAATATTTTGAATACGTTCACCTCCCCCATACTCTCTCCCTCCAATCTGATATTCAATCTTTCATCCCCCTAATCTTTTTGTTATCCTCATAACCTTACTCTTTCCGTATTCACCTTTAATTTTCTTTTTTTTGCACCCCCCTACCAATTAATCCCCAAACTCTGCAACTTCTCTTCAGAATCTCCCAAGGACACAGTGTCTCAGCAAAGAGACTGCTGTGACAACTCCACTTTGTGTGTGATTCTTTATCTTTTAAATCCACGCCTCTTGCCAAGACCTCGCATTTACTTTTCTTACAACCCCATCTATAAATATATTAAACAACCCGGTGACATTCACACATTTCCCTTTTCTAAGGCCTACTTTTACTGGGAAAAAATTTCCCTCTTTCCTACATACTCTAACTTGAGCCTCACTATCTCGTAAAAACTCTTCACTGCTTTCAGTAACCTACCTCCTACACCATACCTTGAAAACATCTGCCACATTGCCCCCCCTATCCCCCCTGTCATTACGCCTTTTCCAAATCCATAAATGCCACAAAGACCTCTTTAAGCCTTATCTAAATACTGTTCACTTATATGTTTCACTGTAAACACCTGGTCCACACACCCCCTACCTTTCCTAAAGCCTCCTTTTTTCATCTGTATCCTATTCTCGTCTTACTCTTAATTCTTTAAATTTATAACTTCTAACCCATACACTTTACCAGGTACACTCAACAGACTTACCCCCCTAAAATTTTTTGCACTCTCTTTTATCCCCTTTCCCTTTATAAAAAGGAACTATGCATGCTCTCTGCCAATCCCTTGGTACCTTACCCCTTCCATTTCATTTATTAAATAATTGCACCAACCACTCCAAAACTATATCCCCACCTGCTTTTAACATTTCTATCTTTATCCATCAATCCCGGCTGCCTTACCCCTTTCATTTTACCTAAATGCCTCACGAACTTCCCCCACACTCCCCAACTGGCTCTTCCTCACTCCTACAAGGGTGTTATTCCTCCTTGCCCTATACCGAAATCACAGCTTCCCTATCTTCATCAACATTTAACAATTCCTCAAAATATTCCTTCCATCTTCCAATACCTTAACTCTCCATTTAATAACTCTCCTCTCCTATTTTTAACTGACAAATCCATTTGTTCTCTAGGCTTTCTTAACTTGTTAATCTCACTCCAAAACTTTTTCTTATTTTCAACAAAATTTGTTGTAACATCTCACCCACTCTCTCATTTGCTCTCTTTTTTACATTGCTTCACCACTCTCTTAACCCTTTTCTCTTTTTTTTCCATATACCTTTTCCCCCCTTGCATCACTTCTACTTTGTAAAAACTTCTCATATGCTAACTTTTTTTTCCCTTACTACTCTCTTTACATCATCTTCCACCAATCGCTCCCCTTCCTCCTGCACCCACTTTCCTGTAACCACAAACTTCTGCTGAAAAACTCTAACATACATTTTAAAACCTACCCCCTACCTCTTCGACCCATTGCCTATGCTTCATTAGCCCATTATCCTCCAATAGCTGTTTATATCTTACCCTAACTGCCTCCTCTTTTAGTTTATAAACCTTCACCTCTCTCTTCCCTGTGCTTCTATTTTTCCTTGAAACCCATCTCCCTTTTACTCCAGTGTAGCTACAATAAAAGTGATCTGATATTCTGTGGCCCCCTATAACATGTACATCCTGAATTTATAACAGTCTTTTATCTACCAATACATAATCCAACAAACTACTGTCTTTTTCGCCCTACACAATCGTGTATACTTATTTTCCTCTTTTTCTTAAAATAGTATTACCTATAACTAAACCCCTTTCTATACAAAGTTCAATCAAAGGGCTCCCCCTTTCATTTACCCTGGGACCCCCAAAATTACCCCCACACCCTCTCTAAAAGTTTCTCCTACTTTAGCATTTAAGTCCCCTACCACAATTACTTCTCACTTGGGTTCCCAAAGGTCCTAACATTCACTTAAACCCCCCAAAATCTCCTCTCTCCCCTGCATTCCCCCTTCTCCCGGTGATACCCTTTTATGACCCACTTCTCGCACCAACCTTTACTTTAATCAATAATTCTTTAATTTTTTCACATTCATATTCTCTTTTCCCCTCCATAAATGTCATTTAAAATTATGCTACCCCCTTTCCCTTTTCTCTAAATCAACTCAGTGGGGGAGAATGTTGCAGCGAGGAGAAGGGTGGAGCAGTGGGATGTCGTCTGAGGGCAATGTGTGGTGTGAATATAATGCAGAGAATTCGTAGTTTGGAAGTTAGGGGAGGTGCGGGATACCAAAATGTTTTCCCGAGGGGGGGAAGGGTTGTTGAGGGGGTTCGGACAGTAGGGGGAATGGAGCGAAACAGAATGACTTCAAGAGTGTATCATCTGAGTGGGGAAAGGGAAAGGAGGGGAGGGGCGGGCCCAGGAAGGGTTGGAGGGAGGGGTAAAGGGGGGTTTTGTGTGGGGGGGGCTTGGACTTCCCAGGCAGCGTGAGCGTGTTTGATAGGAGTGAATGGAACAAATGGTTTTTAATACTTACGTGCTGTTGGGTATAGCAAAGTAACATTTATTTAAAGGGTTCAGGGAAACCCGGGAGGGGGACTTGAGTCCTGGAGAGGGAAATACAGTGCCTCACTCGAAAAGGGGGGGGTGTTAAGTTGCGTTTAAAAACTGTATGTAAAGCCCCTTCTGGCAAGACAGTGATGGATGAAGATGGTGAAATTTTTCTTTTTTTGGGGCCACCCTGCCTTGGTGGGAATCGGCCGGTGTGATAATAAAAAAAAAAATTATTTCCCCCACTGAAACTCTCCTACCCCTTCACTTTGTTTCGCTTAGGGCCAGGACATCCAACTTTTTTTCATTCATAACATCAGCAATCATCTGTTTCTTGTCATCCGCACTACATCCACGCACATTTAAGCAACCCAGTTTTATAAAGTTTTTCTTCTTCTCTTTTTTAGTAATTGTATACGGGAAAGAAGGGGTTACTAGCCCATTGCTCCGGCATTTTAGTCGCCTCGTACGACACGCATGGCTTACGGAGGAAAGATTCTTTTCCACTTCCCCATGGACAATAGAAGAAAAAAAAAGAACAAGAGCTATTTAGAAAAAGGAGAAAAACCTAGATTATGTATATATATATATGCATGTGCGTGTCTGTGAAGTGTGACCCAAGTGTAAGTAGGAGTAGCAAGATATCCCTGTTATCTTAGCGTGTTTATGAGACAAAAAAGAAACCCGCAATCCCACCATCATGCAAAACAGTTACAGGTTTTTGTTTCACATTTCACGGGCAGGACGGTAGTACTTCCCTGGGGGGTTGCTTTTAAACCTACTACCTAATACATTTTTAGGTATCTTTATTTAATGTTTGCCTACACAGTAGGTTTTTAAGTGAGACAGTTGTCTTATAAAACCCGGGTTTTTATACTTTTTAATGTTACTCTGCAGCCCTAAACACAAGGGTATTTTGGTACGCCCCTGAAAAACTTTGTACTTCTCTATGAAAATGGTGGATTTGGGGGCCCTACCTTAACACAACATTCTTACCTCTATAGTGGCCTACATCTCACCCCTGGCGGATAAGGCCCATCCGGGGCCTTTCAACCCATATGTTTTGATATGAAAATATCTTCTCCAGACTGAGGGTGCCACCCAAAAATTCAAGGTAGGGACTGATTCAAGGGGTCTTTCAATTTATTTTGTTTATCAATTTTTTGAGAGAAAAAGTCTGTGTAGGGAAACGTTTCTAAATAAAGATCCAAATGTTGATATTTTCTTCCAACAACAATATTTGGAATGAAACTTAAATAATTAAAAAATAGGCAAAAGTCCTTACTTGTATATTTTTTTACTTTTCAATATTGTACACCTACCATCCGGCCTTACGACCAGTTCGGTTCCGAGAAACGGCGTAAGCAAAATGGTCGTAAGTCGAACTTTATATAAATATCAAAAAAATTTTTGTAATACTTTATTTTATTGTTTTTTTTTGGTATTTCATTTTTTACTTTACTTTTTATATTGTTTCTGTATTTTAATTTTTTTAGTCGCTATAGTAAAAATTTGTAATTTATTTACTATTTATTCAGTGAGAGTAGTTATATTTCTTTCAAAAATGGCTTCCCCCTCCCGAGGCAGGAGAGTGATGTAGTTATATATTTTTTTATTTAGATTTTTCATATTTATTTACGTATTTTCGACTTACGACAGGTTATCTGGCATACCCCATTGAAATCAAAGGGGACCAGCACAGTAAGGGGTTCAAACTGTCAAAAGTTGCATTATCAAGTTTAGAATTAAGAGTTGAAAATAATGGGTGCAACCCCTTAGAAATTCCGCATGAAAACAATGTTTCAATGTTCCATTATGGCCAACCCCACAATCCAAAAACCAGCGAGGCAAATTTACAGCCAGAACTTAACCCCTTTCAGGGTCAGCAGGGCCTTCCTAACTTGTTCCAAGGGGCGGAAATTTTTTTGAAAAAAAAAAAAAAAAAAAAAAAAAAAAAAAATCTTTTGAAATGATAAAGAAACTTTTCCCCATATAAAGCACCAAAAGTATGAAATTTGATGGAAAAAATTTTTGGAGTTATGCTCTCGGAAATTTTGCGGTCTCGACGATGTTTCGTTCGCGATATCGCCCCCCTTTGAGCCTATTTTCGGCAATTCCACTGTCCAGTTAACCAAAATCATACCCATTTTTGGCCCAAACCCCTTTTTTCTATCAAAAAAGTACAAAAACCACCCATTTACCCTTTCCATATCCAAAATAACGTGTCAGAAATTGGCAATTTTGCCCCAAATTTCACCTTTTTTTTCAAAAGATGCCAATTTCCAAATAGGGTCCAGAATAAAAAAGACAACTTTCTGTCACTAAAATAAAATTTCCTCTGTTATTACTCATTTCCCCCGGCCTCTGTTACATTTCTTTTCTTTCCACTTTGAATTTTTATACTCACAAAAAATAAAAGATTTATGTTAGGGCAACTACCGCTTGTGTGTAATGGTAAAATAATATCAGGGCATTGGAAAAATATTACACTAAAACCAGTTGATGTGCATTGGCCGTGGCAGATTTCTTCCCCTTTGAACTTTTGGCAAAAATCGAACTTTCTGTACTTTGAGCTAAATTTTCAAGGTCTTTTCTTTGGGGAAAACAACCCAAAATCATCTCAATTTCCAAAATATGTCTTCCTTCTAAAAAATGAGACCAGGAAAATAAATAAAGAAAATAGACATGAAAATACACTGCAAAGTCACAATTTACTATTGAAAAGTAAAAATGATCTTAACTTCTCTGTGCAAATGTTTAATTTTCCCATTTTAACCTCTTGAAATAGTCTTTTGGGAAAAAAACAAAAACTAAAAGTACAGTCTTGAGATCTATGGAATTTTACATAATCTGAGGTAAATTTTCTTGAATTAAAGTACTCTCACTTCATGACATTTGTTTTTCAATTATAAGTAAATCTTTAAAATGTATTACAGAAATTTGTCCTTTCCTCATATGTTGAAGATGATTATTATTTTTACATTTTGTCTTTTTATCATATTCAGGAAAGTAGAAAGCCTTTTTGGTGCATTCGTGATATATTGTAAGAAAGACTGAGAAAGAGTAAAACAAGTAGATTATTAAAGGTAACCCCAAAGGGAAAAGGATAAAGTCCATTTGATGTAAAAGATCAGTTTAAATTTAAAAAGAAGTAAAAGTTTTTTGCATAAAGGGGGGGGACTGTCAGAGAGGGGGCTGATTCCCATACAGAGCATGACAGTTGGAGGAAAAATCAGTCATTCTCCAAAAACGAATAATCAAAAGATTTAACCTCAGCAATTTTAAAATTCTCAGTGCCATGACCCCTCCTTATTAAATCACATCATAGATTGGTGTGACACACACGCAAACACTACAGTTACAGTATTGTCATAAATATAAAGCAAACCAAAAGAGGTATCATACAAATAGCAAACTGAAAAGTGGGGTACAGTATGGACTTTATCGTCTCGGTAGAATTTTATCCTGTATGAATTTATCTTGGAGGACATGAGAACATGTATATACAGTGCAACATATGACACATTACACTGGTGAATGTTATACGTGCAGTGGTCAGTGATACCAACTTACTTGCCCCTGTTTTATTGCTTTTCTTTTTAAATCCTGCATGACCAGATCTTGTCCAAACTCCTGTAATACAGCTGCTTTATATGTGGAAGCATTCTTTAGCTGGAGACCCCAAAACTTGGATAAATACTGGCTGGGGTTGAAACTGCGGGTAGAGTCAAATCCCCATAGCGGCTAACGCTGCTTTGATGATGCCATCTTTTAATGTAAAGATTTATTAAGTGTACATAAGTACGAAGTACATTAAATGCCATAAATAAGAATAATTAACTTAAAGCAAAGAAAAATTTTTTTTTTTGGTGTCTGAAAAAACTAGTAGGGATTTAGCATTATTATTGCAATGTGGGCAATAACCTAAGATGTTTTGATAAGAAAATAAAAAAATCTGAAATTTTTCACAAGTAGTAAAGTAAAGATTGTGCAATAGTTCTGGGGGCATACATTATTGTGACCCCTAAAGATAGTTATTTTTTTTAAACTTGGAAAACCCAACAAAGTAACTAGATTACTTTCCGGGAATATATTGTTACATGGATTGTTGTCACTGTTGTGGTGTTGGTTTAGTGAGGATAACCCCGGGTAGGCAGGGTTTATAATCAGGATAACCCGGGGAGGGAGTGCTAGCCACCCCGGAAAAACCAGGGTGGGGGTGTAGCCCCCAGGATAACCCCGGGTAGGGGTGTTGCCACCCAATAACCCCGGGGGGGGAAGGTTACCAACCAGGACAACCCAGGGTAAGGAAGTTAGCCACCAGGACAACCCGGGTAAGGAGTGTTAGCCACCCCCCGATAATCCAGGGTAGGGAGTGTTTTTTTTTTTTTTTTATTTCAACTGGCCCATTTCCCCCCAAGGGGGGGTGGCCCGAAAAAGAAAAAAATTCACCACTTCCTCCATCCTGTCTTGCCAAAGGGGCTTTCACTACATTTTTAAACTGCAACATTAACCCCTTTCAAGTGCAGGGACTGTACTTCCCCCTCTCCCGGGCTCAAGTCCCCCCTGCCGGTTTTCCCCGAATCCTTCATAAATGTTACTTTGCTCACACTCCAAAAGCACGTCAAGTATTAAAAACCCTTTTTTTTCCATTTTCCCCCTATCAAACACGCTCACGCAGCCCTGGAAGTCCAAGCCCCCGCACACAAAACCTCCTTTACCCCTCCCTCCAACCCCTTTCCAGGCCCACCCCCCCCGCCTTCCTTTTATAAGACTGATACCTCTTGAAGTCATTCGTTTTTGCTCCCTTCTCTCTACATGTCCCAACCCCTCAAAAACCCTTCCTCAGCCCTCTGGGCAAAAAGTTTTTGGATCCCCCACTCCTCCCAAAATCCCAAAATAGAAATTTTTGCATTATTTACACCAACATTTCCCCCAGACATGACATTCCACTGCCTCCGCCTTTTTCGCGCAACATTTATCACCCACGCTTCCCCCCCATAAAGAGCGTTGGTTTTAAAAATATACTCTCATACATTCCCCTCTTTGCCTAAGGACAAAGTTCTTTGTCTCCCCGACTCCAAGTGCACCACTCACTCTTTTTCCTCATCAAATTTTTGATTCACCTCATCTTTCATGCCCCCTACAAAATCCACTCCCAAATATCTGAAAAAGTTCACCTCCTCCATATCTCCCCTCCCAAACTGTATTCAATTTTCATATCTAACTTTTTGTTATCCTCATAACCTTACTCTTTCCTGATTCACCCTTTTAAATTTTTTTCTTTTACACCCACCAAATTCATCCACCACTCCGCAGCTTCCTTTTAAATCTCCAAAAGCACGTGTCTCAGCAAAAAAGCAGCTGTGAAACTCCCACTTTGTGTGTGATTCTTTTCTTTTAACTCCAGCCCCCTTGCCAGACCCCGATTTACTTCTCTTTCAACCCCTTATAATATATTAAACAAACCCGGTGCATCACCATCCTTGTCTAAGGCCCACTTTTACTGGGAAAAAAATTTTCCCCCCTTTTTCCTAATATCTAACTTGACCTCACTTCCTCGTAAAAAAACCCTTCATGCTTTCAGTAAACCCACCCCCTACACCATACACTTGCAAATCTCCACATTCCCCCCCATCCACCCTGCAATGCCCTTTTTCCAAAACATAAATGCCCCAAAGACCTCTTTAGCCTTATCTAAAAACTGTTCACTTTTATGTTTCACTGTAAACACCTGGTCCAACCCCCCTACTTTCCCAAAAAGCCCCCTTTTGTTATCTGCTACCCATTTCATCTTACTCTTAATTCTTTCAATTAAAAACTCTACCATACACTTTCCCGGGTTTACACTCAACAGACTTATCCCCCTTAATTTTTCACTCTTTTTATCCCCTTTCCCTTTTATACAAAGGAATTTGCATGCTCTCTCCCAATCCTAGGTACCTTCCCCTTTCCATAATTTTTTAAAATAATTGCACAACCACTCCAAAACTTTTCCCCCACCTGCTTTTAACATTTCTATTTTATCCCATAAATCCCGGTCCCCTTACCCCCTTTCATTTTACCTATGCCTCACAATTCCCCCCCACACTCACAACTGGCTTTCCTCACTCCTCAAGAGTTATTCCCCCTTTCCCCTTTAAAACCCGAAATCACAGTTCCTACTTCAAAAACATTTAACAATTCCTCAAAATTTTTCCCTCCATTTTCCCAATACCTCTAACTCTCCTTTTAATAACTCCCCTCTCCTATTTTTTTAATGACAAACCATTTGTTCTCTAGGGTTTTTTAACTTTTTAATCCACCCAAAACTTTTTTATTTTTAAAAAATTTGTTGATAACACTCACCCACTCTCCCCTTTTCTCTCTTTTTTCTTGCTTCCCACTCTCTTAACCTCTTCTTTTTCTCCATATACTCTTCCTCCTTGCATCACTTCTACTTTGTAAAAACTTCTCTATGCTAATTTTTTCCCCTTACTACTCTCCTTAACATCATTCCACCATCGTTTCCTCTTCCCTCCTGCACCCACTTTCCTGTAACCACAAACTTCTGCTGAACACTCTAACACTACATTTTTAAACCTACCCCATACCTCTTCGACCCCATTGCCTATGCTCTCATTAGCCCATCTATCCTCCAATAGCTGTTTATATCTTACCTAACTGCCTCCTTTTTTAGTTTATAAACCTTCACCCTCTCTCCCTGATGCTTCTATTCTCCTGTATCCCATCTACCTTTTACTCTCAGTGAAGCTACAACAGAAAGTGATCTGATATATTGTGGCCCCTCTATAAACATGTACATCCTGAAGTCTACTCAACAGTCTTTTATCTACCAATACATAATCCAAAAAAACTACTGTCATTTCGCCCTACATCATATCGTGTATCTTATTTATCCTCTTTTTCTTAAAATATGTATTACCTATAACTAAACCCCTTTCTATACAAAGTTCAATCAAAGGGCCCCCATTTATCATTTACACCTGGCACCCCAAACTTACCTACCACACCCTCTCTAAAAGTTTTCTCCTACTTTAGCATTCAGGTCCCCTACCACAATTACTCTCTCACTTGGTTCAAAGGCTCCTATACATTCACTTAACATCCCCAAAATCTCTCTCTCTCCTCTGCATTCCTCTCTTCTCCAGGTGCATACACGCTTTTATGACCCACTTCTCGCATCCAACCTTTACTTTAATCCACATAATTCTTGAATTTACACATTCATATTCTCTTTTTCTCCTTTCCCTAACTGATCATTTAACATTACTGCTACACCTTCCTTTGCTCTAACTCTCTCAGATACTCCAGATTTAATCCCCTTTATTTCCCCCACTGAAACCCCTCCTACCCCCTTTAGCTTTGTTTTTGCTTAGAGCCAGGACATCCAACTTCTTTTCATTCATAACATCAGCAATCATCTGTTTCTTGTCATCCCCACTACATCCACGCACATTTAAGCATCCCAGTTTCATAAAGTTTTTCTTCTTCTTTTTTTAGTAAATGTATACAGGAGAAGGGGTTACTAGGCCCATTGCTCCCGGCATTTCAGTCGCCTCATACGACACATGGCTTACGGAGGAAAGATTCTTTTCCACTTCCCCATGGACAATAGAAGAAATAAAAAGAACAAGAGCTATTTAGAAAAAGGAGAAAAACCTAGATGTATGTATATATATATGCATGTGCATGTCTGTGAAGTGTGACCAAAGTGTAAGTAGGAGAAGCAAGATGTCCCTGTTATCTAGCGTGTTTATGAGACAGAAAAAGAAACCAGCAATCCTACCATCATGCAAAACAGTTACAGGTTTTTGTTTCACAGTCATCTGGCAGGACGGTAGTACTTCCCTGGGCGGTTGCTGTCTACCAACCTACTACCTATAGGGAGTGTTAGCCACCCAAAATAATCCAGGGTAGGAAGTGTTAGCCACCCACGATAATCCAGGGTAGGGAGTGTTAGCCACCCACGATAATCCAGGGTAGGGAGTGTTAGCCACCCACGATAATCCAGGGTAGGGAGTGTTAGCCACCCACGATAATCCAGGGTAGGGAGTGTTAGCCACCCACGATAATCCAGGGTAGGGAGTGTTAGTCACCCACGATAATCCAGAGTAGGGAGTTTTAGCCACCCATGATAATCCAGGGTAAGGAAGGTTAGCCACCCAGAACAACCCAGGGTAAGGAATGTTAGCCACCCAGGACAACCCAGGGTAAGGAGTGTTAGCCACCCACGATAATCCAGGGTAGGGAGTGTTAGCCACCCACAATAATCCAGGGTAGGAAGTGTTAGCCACCCACGATAATCCAGGGTAGGGAGTGTTAGCCACCCACGATAATCCAGAGTAGGGAGTGTTAGCCACCCACAATAATCCAGGGTAGGGAGTGTTAGCCACCCACAATAATCCAGGGTAGGGAGTTTTAGCCACCCAGGATAACCCACAGTGGAGTGTTAGCCACCCAGGTTATGAAGTGTTAGCCACCCAGGGTATGAAGTGTTAGCCACCCAGGGTATGAAGTCTTAGCCACCCAGGATAACCCTAGAAAGTCAGTGCGTCATCGAGGGACTGTCTGTCTGGTTTCTATTGTAGTCCTTCAATCTTGTCCCCCAGGATGCCACCCACACCATTCCACTAACACTCATTTACCGACTTACTGCTAGGTGA